GCCAAATCTTACGAGCGAAAATCACTGCTACTAACTCCAAGTCGTGCGTAGGATAATTTCTCCCATGTACTTTCAACTGTCGTGACGCATAAGCAATCACCTTCCCATGCTACATGAGCACACATCCTAAACCCTGTCGTGAAGCATCACTATAAATCACAAAACTACCTCCATCTGTAGGTAAGGCAAGGATTGGAGCTGATGTCAATCTCTGTTTAAACTCTTGGAAACTACGCTCACAATCATCATTCCACTCAAACTTTACCCCTTTCCTAGTGAGATTGGTACGTGGCAAAGAAATACAGGAGAATCCTTCCACAAACCGTCTGTAATATCCAGCAAGCCCTAGAAAGCTATGTACCTCCATCACAGAAGTAGGTCGTGGCCAATCAACAATTGCTGTCACCTTGGTGTTATCCACAGATACCCCATCTTTACTCACCACATGACCCAAAAAGGATACACTGCTCAACCAGAATTCACATTTCTTAAATTTTGCATACAGTCTTTTCTCCCTAAGGATCTGCAGTACTACCCTCAAACGCTGCTCATGCTCCTCCTTACTCGATTAAATTAGGATGTCATCAATAAACACTACCACAAATTTATTCAGTTGGGGTTTGAATACTCTGTTCATCAAATCCATGAATGCGGCTGTTGCATTTGTGAGACCAAAAGGCATCACCAAGAACTCATAATGCCCATAACGGGTTCTAAAAACAGTCTTAGGAACATCCTCATCCCTTACCTTCAACTGGTGATAGCCTGACCTTAAGTCAATTTTAGAGAATACTTGAGCTCCCTGCAACTGGTCAAATAGATCATCAATGCGTAGCAAAGGATACCTATTCTTCACTGTGACTTTGTTCAGTTCTCTATAATCAATACATAATCTGATAGACCCATCCTTCTTCTTTACAAACAACACAGGTGCTCCCCAAGGTGAAACACTAGGCCTAATAAAACCTTTGTCTAACAACTCCTGTAACTGAGTTTGTAACTCCCTCAACTCTAATGGTGCCATTATATAGGGCACTTTAGAAATAATTGTTGTGTTGGGGACCAAGTTAATGGAAAATTCTACCTCATGATCTAGAGGAAGTCCAGGTACATCCTTTGGAAAAACATCAACACAATCACTCACTACAGGAAACTTCTCTAACTTCCGTTCTGGCAGTTCAATACTCACCACACAAGCTAAATAATCATGACACCCTTTATTTAACATTCGATTAGCCTAAAGGGAAGAAGTAAAACAGATAGAAGACCCTTTCCTATCTCCCTGAAAGAAAAACTCAAGTTGTCCCAACATAGCAAAAAGTACCCTCTTTCTAAAATAATCAACAGAGACATGATGCTTTGTTAACCAATCCATCCCCAAAATCACATCAAAATCCTTCATCTCTAAAGAAATCAAATCCACTGGAAAAATCCTACCAACCAAGTTTACCTCACAAGATCTATAGACATTCCCTAATACTACTGTTTCTCCTAATGGAGTAGACAAGGTAATATAAACATCAAAGGCTCACAAGGAATAGACAATCCGTATAGATATCTAGGTGCCAACTCTTAACCTTCAAACTACAATCAAGAAAGATTAAACACAAGCTTAAACAGAACTAACTTAACCAAACACTACTAAGGACTATAAGGACTCGGACCTTATCTAAATGATGAAATGCAAGATATGTAACTCGATAAACTATAGCTCTGATACCACAATTGTCACACCCCAAATCCGGGCATGACCGGTCGTGGCCCACAGGGACTTAGCCCAAGGCACACGTAAGCCTAAACATGAATCCAAAACCATAAAGAATAAACGTGATGATAGCCCAGAAATAAATAAATCAACACTCAATCCAATGACATACCACAAGTGAAAAACAAGTCATAACCAACTTCCTAAAAATATATATATACTAAATGTGACACAAACCGCCCACAAAATAAAATAATTCTAAATAAAACCCAACCACAATGTATGTACAAAACTTGACAAAGCTACCTAAAACAAATTAAATAAATGCCCTAGAGGTCCATGCAATTGAGTCCCCGCTACGCCATGAGTCCGCTCTAAGTTCTTCTAACACCTAGAAATGGTAAACAACTAAGTCAGCTGATAGCTTAGTGAGTAGCAACATGGATAGTAAATACAGTTTTGAAAACATGGTTCAATTCCAAAATAAGATATATATCACAGAAACTAGATTGGCATATAGTTTGGTAAATACAATCTGTTTCAAAAAGAAGGTTCCACAATTCAACACTTAAAATACTCATGTCTCGCAAGAACATGATAAACGACATTTTCCACTTAAAACAGATTATAACATGAACACCAATAATTTTCTGGGTACCAAGAAAAACAAATAATATGCCACACATTTCTCAGGCTATAAGCCCCGTTGGATCCAATACCGAACTAAGAGTCATCCTCAGGGTGGCACCTGGGCCTTTTCTCAAAGACGATCCGATTGAAAGTCACCTAGTTATTTTTAAAGGTCTGTTCCTTACAATCGTTGAGCACTAGAGTCATCACAGCCCAAGTGCCATCTGTTCCCTAGTGGCCAGAGTCACCACACACAGTGGAATAATTTCCCTGGACTAAATACACACATGGTCCCAATAATCAATACACATCAGGAATTGTGAAATCTAATTAGTACGGTATGCTTATCATGTGCCCTTGCGGCAAATTGTACTAAGAATATTACATTAATTTATTGATAGAAAACCCTAGCATATAGATTGATCGCTTCATAGTAGTTGCGTTGTAAATTTGTGACTCTTCTCTTCTAACAATATAATGAAACTAGTATGAGCCATGAACGTAGGTAATCTAGTCAAATTATGTAAATTTGTTTTTCGTGTTTTTTTTTTGTTTGTTTCTTCTTCTTGCTATGGTTTGTGCTTAGTGATAAGAACATTAAATAAAAATCAGTTGATGGTATAGAACTTTCAAAATATAAAATAAAAAATAAAATAAAAATTATGCAAATTGACTGTTTCTCATCTCACGTACAAAATGGTTAGTGGACACCCATTATCCAGTTTGAATGAAAATGAGAGGCTTTTGTATTTTTTTTAATATTTAAAAACCAAAAAGATTTTGTCAAACAATAGTACACAAATGCTACATTAATTGAAGGGATGACTATTAAAGCCATCATCAACAAGAAGTCTTCATTTATTAATTTCTATTAGCAGCCAAATCAAGTTGTTGCAAAGATGGCCTCTCTTTGGCCAAGGGCACTATGTGCCTTGGCTTTACTTTTGCTAGCTACAAATTATGTGGCCGCTTTCCCTGATCCATACATTTATGCATCTCCACTGTCACCACCTTCTTCTTATGTATACAACTCTCCATCACCGTCGCCACCAAGTTACAAGCATGAGAGTCCTTACTATTACAAATCCCCAGAACCACCATCTCGAACCCTGCTACCTCCTTATGTTTACAAATCCCCACCACCACCTTCTCCGTCACCGCCTTCTCCTTATGTATACAAATCTCCACTATCACCTTCTCTGTCACCTCCTCCTCCTTATGTATATAAATCTCCACCACCACCATCTTCCTCAGATTTCTTAATAGTGTATACATATATATACAAAATACATAAACGTACAACCTCTCCATGAATGAATAAAATAATTATAGAATAAGGATGAAGAACAAAGAAAGAAGAGAAGAAAACCTAGGAGAGCTAACCTTTGATGATCACACACAACACAACACAACCAAAAGTTCTTTGATTGCAACATCTTCTTCTTTTTTTTCCTTCTCTCAAACCCTCTCCCGTGGTTGCTGTGTTGTTTCCCTATGTGGTGAACAAATAATAGAGTAGGGTTTGTGTTTATTTTATTTTATACTAGTGATGGGCACACATAGGTCAAATAAATAGATAAATATACAAAACATATATATAAGTTATATGCAACTCAAATGGTAAGAGTCTTATATATTAACCTTGTGGTTTAGAGTTCAAGTCACACCCTCCTCTCTCTCTCTCTATATATATATTTTTTATAATAAATCTTGCCTCTAAATTAAATACTTTCACCATAAATTTATTTTAAGTTTTAAAAGACCTTCAAATATTTAATTTGCACTTTAGGATTCACCACCAAAATATTTGAGATTATAATATTATTATTATTTACTTAATTTTTATATTCGGGTTCTCACAATAAGCATTGCTAGCTTGCAAATAAAGAGGAAACATGCGATTCTTAGTCATGTCTACATGCGTAATCAATCTGTTATGTTGATTGCAGATGGATAATTCCAACTCTCTTGTGTGGATATTGTAGCCTTTCTTGAGTAACTGACACAAATTCAAAATGTTACTTTTTAAATCTAGCACATAATAAACATTGTCAATATATTGTTGTTCTTTATTCTTCAACTTAATACCGATAGTCCTTTTTCCTTTCATGGGTCTCTTTGTTGAATCTCCAAAGATGACTTCTCCTTGCTGACTTTCGTCGAGTGTTGCGAACAATTCTCTCTTGCCGCTCATATAATTGTTGGCACTAGAATCAAGGTACCATAAACTGCTTTGATTTGCTTCACCATTATCATTATATGTCAGTAGCATAGTAAAATCTTGTTTAACTTCACCATAATTGACTTCCCTTTCTTCATTGTTAGTATTTTGATACCAACATTCCATAGCATAATGTCCAAATTTTTGACAAACATTACATTGAATTTGAGATTTGTCATACCTTTGCGGTCTTGTGTTCCGACCTCTTCCTCAACCTCTTTGACTGTTAATTGTTGGTGGTCGGCAATCTCCATAATTCTGTTGTTGTTGTGAACGTTGTTGTTGTGGATGTCATGTACTATTGTACTGGGGATATCTTCCTCTTCCTCGTTGATTTGAGGATTTTCTTCTTCCTTTTATCGAAAACTTTGTTTGGAGTGCTTGCTTAAGGGAACTTGATGCAATCTTCTTATTGATTCTTTGCTCATGAATTTCTAACGATGCTTACAATTCATCGATTGTCAAGTCGTTAAAATCCTTTGATTCTTCAATGGCAACAACCACATGTTCGAATTTCGAACTACGTGATTTAAGTATCTTTTCAATAATGCGAATTTCTTCAATCTTGTCGCTAAGTCTTTTAATTTGGTTAACAATAGTTAAAGTTTTGGTAAAGTATTCAAAAATTGACTCATTGTCCTTCATTTGCAATAATTCAAATTCTCCTCGTAAGACTTGGAGTCAAATCCTTGTGGTTTTCTTAATTCCTCGACATGCCTTTTGAAGAGTTTCCCATGCTTCTTTTGATGTGCTTGCAGTTGAGATCTTTTCGAAAGTAGCTGGATCTATGCCTTGATAAATTAATATAAGTCTTTTTTGTCTTTTGTCTTTGCATCTTTAAATGCAGTCTTCTGAGCTTCTGTCAGATCTTCTTCATTTTCTTTGGACGCTAGTTCATCATATCCGTGCTCCACTGAATCCCATAAATCTTGGAATGATAGGAGTAACTTCATATGTATACTCCAATGCTCAAAGTTGCCTTTATCTAAATTTGGAAACTGAGGTTGGAAGAAGTTTCTTGTGGAAGCCATCGGATCGCTTGCTTTAATCTTAAAATATTTTTAGAAATTTAGTTTCTAATATCTAATCGTATGAATGAGTCTGGAATGGTCCAAATAGTTAGAAAACATTATTGGATAGTTGTGATTGGACTTCAGGTGGCTTAGATGTAGCCAAAATAAATGTTATGGTTCAGATATACTAGAAACCTGTGGCACATGAAGCACTGGATCAAAACTCTAGATTTCGTGCATCAGGCTGATGTTAGATGATGTTAGCGGCTCAGTCGGTGCACGACTTGTACGGCGATGCGGCTAAACTAGTAGCGCAGCTTAGCTGTGCGTGGGACTTAATAACGTCAGGTATGTGATGTTAGCGTCCACGTGTCATCTTTCTCTGGAGCACGTGCCTGCGCGTTGTTATGGCGTCATCGGTGCGTGGAGAAGCGTGTGGCTTCCACGGAGCTCAGTTTTCAGCGCGATTTTTTTCTACATGATCGTCTCAACGAGATCTTGAACCTGGTATGATCAAAAGTTGATTTCACTTTTATTTTTGGGCAATTCTAAAAATTGCTCTGTTCTACCTCTGTTTTTGCAGATATTCAGCCTCCTTAGCTTTGATACCACTAATGGTAGGCTTCTATATATTTTGTATGGAATTTATGATGTCTCACACATAAACAAATAAATGAATTTATTTCAAAAAAATATAACCTGTGGGTTTTATCTCTCATCTCTCTATCTTTCAAACCTTTTATAGGTTTTTTGATTTATTAATTGATATCTATAACAACAACCTAACAATCTATTTGTAGGTTTCTGATTCGTATATGAACCGTGTGTTTATTTACAGTTGTGAATTTGAATTCAGTTTCTTACCTTCTAAGTTTCTGACTTGGTGAGCTTCAAGAAAGCTTCATGGCTGTTTCTTCGATCTCTTCTTCCATCTTTAGGCAACTTCTGTTTAAGAATTTGAGCAAGTTTAAACATGTTTGAAATTTGTGTGATTCTACAAATTCACCATTTTGAGTTAAATCTACGAACTTTATTTGTAGCTTAGAGTAATATCCTTTATGTGGTACATTTCGAATCGAAATAAACATGTTTTAAGGCAAAATTAGCACTAAGTTATTAACAAATATACACCAAATCCAACATAACATGATTTATCAGCACACAATGGATTTGGGCAGCCCTAAAATTTGCTTAATAATTTTGAGAAGATTTGGGAGTACAACCTATTGTGAACCTCTTCTATCTAACATTGTTTGTATCGTTCTCTTTTTCATTGTTCTCTTTTCAATTTTCATGTTTTCAAAAATAAAATCAAAGCTGTTATAAAACTAAAGGAAATAAAGAAGAAAGAGCCACAATAGAATAAAAGGAATAAGTAACCAAATGAGAATACTAGAAAGTAAAGGGCCAAAAAAGAATTCTTTCTTTCCATTTTTTTTCTTTTCTGATGGATGCCAATTACAATGCATATAGGTTTACATGGCTTAAATCCATGTAGATTTGAAAGCATATTTATACAATAACACTGTATTTGTTTTTGTTATTCATGAACTCCAACACAAAAGTATATAATCGGTCAAAAACAACCAATATCATGAACAAAGCCCTCCAAGAAAGTTTATTGTGATTTATTAATTATCCTTATTGAATTTCATCGTTTCCACAGACGACGCCAATTGTACGAACACAACAACAACAACAAAAAAACCGTATTTGATGATAAAGAAATCCAACAAAGAAGATGATCAACACCACCTCGCGATCGTTATCTATAAAACAAAACACCCCCAGCCGTAGCCGAGGGCCCTCCGACGCCCAAGTTAATCCTCCAATATTATCAAAATATTTAATGTACTAATATTCATAGAGAGAAATTGTGTACCTTAACCCATGGGGTGTTCCCTATTTATAATATCTAATGACTTACCTCACAAATAGTTTGAATGTTTCAGAAGTCCTATCCCAAACAATCTTCAGTTGTTTAAGACTTCTATATCGATAAGATTTCATATCCTGATGAGTTTTGCATAACATAAAACACTAATGCAGTGTTTGATAAGAATTTGACAACTGTCATACATGTGGTAATCCATAACCATGCCACGTGGCAATGCCAAGACCCACATAATTCTTATGGTTCTTTTTATTCTCTCTCAGGCACTAATACATGCATACTAATGAAAACTCCTATTCTAATTACGGCATCACCTTAAACACATGGGAGGGACAAACCTTGTCCTATTATGAAAATTAGTCAAGCTGCTTGGGTGAGGTTATCCATACGTTACACAACACTCCCTCCTTGGATAATCATATACTAAGAATATGCCTCGTTAGAACCTTACCAAGAAAAATCCAATGGGAAAAAACCTTTGGTGAAGGGAAAAGAGTACAATATTCTAGTATGTGAGTTGTTTAGATTGCCTCATTAAAACCTTGCAAAGGGGACCCAAGATTCATCAATGGGTTGGGCTAATGTTAAGGTAAAATTACACAATATATTTTAAGTATAACCACATAAGAAAAAGGAGAATTTAATAATACAATCTAGATTAATATCTAAATTTATTGATTTCAAAGTAAGGTCTCGTTCAAGGTAAAGAGACATGCAATTGGCAAGAAACTCATCCCCAATTGAATTGCGAATGACAATTTTAACATGCTTCATGCTCGAAAATGCTCTTTACGTAGTCGCCGTAGAAACGGGAAGGGTCAACACAAGTCGAATCAATTTATAGATCATGATGTAATGCTCGAACTTTCTTGTCACAAATAGTTATTGACATAAATCGGCAAGGGTAGATATCTTATGAAACTTGGGATAACAAACAACATCAAGCTTATAATGCATTAATTGACATCTCAAAGCATGGATGTCTTGAGAAGTGAAATCTTGAGGATAAAATTTCTCAGCAAGATTGCAAATATTATCCATATTAAAAGATCTAAAATTGCCACTAGGATCCAAAGTCGAGCTAAGAGAAAGAAGTTCCATTATCCCATCATTAAATCTATGTTCTAACTTCATCAATTGAAAATCAATTGTAGAGTTGAATATGTCAAAGTGATAATGATGCTCAAATGTAATGTGATCTTGCTGACGACGACGACTTGTACCTTCTTCATAAGAAAAACTCATATCATGCACCGCAATGTTATGTCGATTGCAAAATGACACCACATTTGCAAGAGAAATATCCCAATCATCTTGTCTAAGTTTTTAAAGGAGAGCTTTTGTTGTGGAGACTAATTTCATCATATTTAAGATGTCTTGAGTTTTCTCTTACAAGGCTTGACAAAGTGTATTCACGATTCCCAAAATGTTATCCATTAAGTGAAAGACGAATATGAATTCAAAGCTCTTCATTACCTTGTAAACTCCATTAGCTTGCCCGCGAATTTGTTGATTTGTACTCTTCTTGAGACTTTCAACAACTACACAAGATGCGTCATACATATCAATCAAGTTTCTAACAGAGTCATAATAGCTCCAGCTCGATGTAAGGTACCAATTTGATTGGCCCCTTTACCAGATTGACACTCACCACTAGCCAACATATTTTCAACTTCACTCCTATGAAAAGATTTTAACTCACCAATGCACTTTAGAGAAGAAGCAACAAGATTGACAATACAACTCAAGTGAGAAAAAAATTGCCAAACATTAGGCTCATCTTTTGTTGCTGCAATTAAGGCCAATTGCAGACAATGTGCAAAGCAATCTACATAATATGCATATAGGCAATCTTTAAGAAATAACGCTTGAAGTCCATTCCATTTGCCACGCATATTGCTAGCACCATCATACCCTTGACCACGCATGTTTTGAATAGGGAGATTAAATCGAGAAAGGATATTCGATATCTCTTTTTTAAGAGTCAATGCAGATGTATTTTCAACACCCATGATATCAAAGAACCATTCCCCTAGCAAACCATCATTCTTGACATATCTCAAAATAAGGGCCATTTGTTCTTTTTTAGACTCGTTTTGGGATTCATCAACAAGAATACAAAAATAACCTCCTACAACTTCATCAAAAATCATATTTCTAAATCTGTTAGCAAGTATATGTAAAATCTTAGTTTGGATCTTCGGAGAAGTGTATTTGGCATTTTGTAGAACATTCTTTAATATAATGCTCTCAAGTGCATCATTTCCTCTCGCCTTGAACTTTAATAATTTAATTAGATTACCTTGATTCAATGAAGTCGAGCTTTCATCTAAAACCAAGTCCTTGAAGAGCAAGTACCTGAATGGTTTCAATTGTTGCCTTTACTCGTATTCGATTTTTTAAAATCTCTTCTTTTGATAGCGCATTCAACACTTTTGCAATGTGCTGGGAAGATTTCTTTAAATTGTCATGACTAATAACACAATGACTATGCGATGCAAGTTCGACATGAAGCAAAAAAACACATTTAGACCCATTATTTACTCTTTTACAATTGTTAACCCGTCATCAACAAGCGCAGAATGACTGATCGACTTATTTGGCTAATCAAATAAAAAGCATGAAAAACAATATGCTTAATCCTTTGAAGGAGGATACGCTAGCCAAGAAAATTGTTTAAACCAAATATGTTAGAATCGACGATTCTGCTTTCCAAATGAGGACCTGGGATACTTAAGTTTAGGTTGATAAGGCCCTAAGTTCACATAAGCTAGTCTAACCTCATCCTATTGATTAACTAGATATTTACAAATTTGCAAGCATAAACCAGGATCCCCGTTCAATAACAGTTGAATCAAATTTGCTTGGTTTATTTGCTTGAGGCATGGAAGGCGGTTACACATCAGAAAATGAGGTTTCAACAACATTGGATGTTGTACTACTAGACTTTGGTTTTGATTGATAGAATGAGAAAAAATGTTTTGCTTTTTTCTAGTTATGGAGGTTCCATTATTTATAACCTAAAAAAATTTTAAAATTTTTTTTAGCCCTATTTAATATTAAACCAGAGTATATTCGCAATAATTTTAAATATTAGGGTTTTTATGTATATCCTCAATAATTTTTATTTAGGCTTTCATTATTTTTATACATGTCCAAAAAAATTCCTTCAAAGTTCAAAAACTAAAAACAATATGGAACATTGAGCAAGGAAGCATCATAAAAAATTAAAAAAAAAAAAATAATATAATATTTGTTGCATAAAGACAAAATTTCAAAACCATTGTTAATCAAATCCATTCTCAACCAACGAAATAAAATATTTAGTTAATTACACTTACAAAAAATGTTAGGAAAATGGAGCCATTGCAGGCTACTGGAGACGACGGAGAGAGGGTCGCTGCCTATGTATCGGAAGATGTGAGGATTGTTTTGGAGATTTGTTCTTTAAACAAATACAAACCTATTGGGTTGCATATCTATTTTTTTAGGTAAGTATTGGGCTGCCTATCTAAAAAACAAACAAAAAAACTATTGGCCCTTATTTGGGGCTGGGTTGGGAAAAACAATTTCTACAGATTTTTTAGATTTTGGGCTAGGCTGTAGCCACCTATTCCCAGCCTTAAGTTTGCCCTTGAAACCTTGCTAAGGAAAACCCAATGGGAAAAAATTTTAGATGAAGAAAAAAGAGTACAATCTACAAATCAGCTTAAATTGATGACTCCCCCTTAATACTGTATAATAAATCTTTATGTCGACGCATCCTAATATTATGCACCAACTTTTTGAATATTGCAGTCAGTAATACTTTAGTAAATAGATCTATTAGGTTATTACTTGAGCGTATCTGTTGAACATCAATATCATTACTCTTCTGGAGCTCATGTGTGTAAAAGAATTTTAGTGAAATGTAAGGTCATGTCACGTTTGATATATCCTCTTTTGATCTGTGTGATACACGCAACATTATTTTCATATAATATGGTCGGACTATCTTTTGTTGAAGGCAATTTGCATCTTTCTTGAATATGATAGATCATGGATCTAAGCTAAATACATTCTCGACTTGCTTCATGAATTGCAAGTATCTCTGAGTGATTTGAAGAAGTAGCCATCAATGTTTGTTTTACTGATCGCCAAGATATAGCAGTATGCCCATAGGTAAGAACATATCCTGTTTGTGATTTGGCTTTATGTGCCTGTTTGGTAAAGCTTTTTTTCAAATTATAGCTTAATTTAAATTGTTTCATTGTATTTGGTGTAGCTTAATAATACAGATTATAGCTTTTTGTAAGTGAAAAATCATTTTTTTCTTGAAGTGGCTGTAAGGGTGCTTAACAGATTCATCTTAAGTGGTAAGCTAGGAAAGGAAGGGCAAAATTACTTAAATGCCTTTCATCAACTTCAATTATTTCCAAAAAACCAATATATAAACCCACAACCAAACACTGTTCACTTCTTCAGAGAGAGAAAGGTTGAAAGGCAATTTCCTGTGGCATAAACCAGAACTAGCTCTCTCTCTCTCTCTCTCTCTCACGATCTGATGATGGGGGCTACAGGCTAGGGTTTTACAGCTGACGATTTGACGATGATAACGATCTAACGCTCGAGCTTTCTCTCTCTCTCTAGCATTGTTTGTGTCTACGATCAATCTGAAACCCTTCTATGTCATCGCAATCGACCTTCTACCATTACAATAGAGCCACCACATCGCCGTTGTGCCTTTATCGTTGTCCCTCAATCCCCATCACGATCGATGGAGAAGTGATCTCAGCAAAGTTCCCTTTCCGGTGAACCAGAGCTCTCTCTCTCTCTCTCTCTCTCTCTGTGGCATTATTCCGTGTCTACGATGGAACAGTGAGGTATAAGAGGAGAAGAAGGGATTGCCGGAGCAAGGGTTTTCATTGTTTTTTTTAATAAAACAAAAATAATAAAAAAGCATTTTAAGCCATTAATGAAATAAATTTTATATTAATTGATACTAATTAATAATTTTAGCATTAATTGATACTAATTAAGCCATTAATTGATAATAAATTAAATTTAAAAAATATTAATAAATTGGTATATTTTGTAACAATTTTGTAATAATAAATTAAAAAATATTAATTAGTATTTGTAACAATTTTTAATAAATTTTAAAAAAAATATCAATTAATATTCATGTATTTATAAACTAAAATGAATATAATTTGAAAATTTTAATTGGTATTTCAGCATTTTCCAAAATTTTCTCATGATCAATCTCACCATGCATGCACCACTTCTAATTTGAAAAAATAAACTATAAACTAAAGAAAACAAAATAAAATGAAGAAAAAGGGGAAAAAAATTGAGAGAAGAAAATGGGGGAGAAAATAAGGAAAGAAGAGAATAAAAAACAATTAAGAGAAGAAAAGAAGAGAAGAAAAAATTTAAAAAAAAAAAAGAGAAGAAAATAAGGAGAAAAAAAAATAAAATGAAGAAAAAAAAAGGCAAAAAGGACATTGCACAATAAAAAGCTATTTTGCAACTTATTCAACCAAACATTACTCTGCTGATTAAATCCATAATCTCACTGCTACACCAAACAAGTTAACAGCTTATGTTTAAAGTTGTAATCTATAATCTGTTAAACCATAATCTATAATCACTTTTCCACAGCTCTGCCAAACCGGGCCTATGTGGATCAGAAAGATATATAGTATTTGCATAGCTTTGATTTATTTGAATAAAATAAACCCATATCAGTTGTTCCACAAAGATAACGTAATATTTGTTTTACTCCACTTCAATGTATTCGGGTTAGTGTGAAACTATATCTTGCTAATAAATTGATAACGAATGCAATATCAAGCCTGGTACAACTTGCAAGATACATGAATGCACTAATTGCACTAAGATATGGTATTTCAGGCCCAAGGAGTTCTTCATTATCATCTCGTCAAAAAAAATCTTTTTTCACATCAAGATATTGAACAACCATAAGAGTACTCAAAGGATGAGTTTTATCCATATAAAAGTTCTTCAAGACTTTTTCTGTATATGTTGATTAATGTACAAGAATCCTATTTGGCAAATGTCTGATCTGCAAGCCGCCACAAAATTTTGTTTTGCCAAGATCTTTCATTTCAAATTCATTCTTTAAATATTCTATAGTTTTTGTAAACTCTTCTGGAGTTCCTACAAGATTCAAATCATCAACATATACTGCAATAATTGTAAATCTAGATTCAGATTTCTTAATGAAAATGCATGGACAAATCAGATCATTCATATATTCTTCTTTCAACAAATACACACTAAGCTGATTATACCACATTCATCCAGAATGTTTCAACCCGTATAGAGATCTTTGTACTTGATTGAATAAACACTTCCGAGTTTTGAATTACATGTTTCTGGCATTTTAAATCTTCAGGGAGTTTCATATATATATATATTGTTAGGATATATCTCCTTATTGGAGTTTGAGACCCAATTGGTTTTGGTTAAAGAATTTTAATTTGGTTTGGTTTGGATATAATATATTTTATATATATTATATCTAATTTGTGGAGACCCAATCTAATTTGGTAACAATTAGGATTTTGAGAACATAATCCAAGATTTAATCATATATATATATATATATGTTTCTGTGAGTTAGTGGTGAGAGAGATTGAAAACCAATTAGGTGGAATTAAATCTGGTGAGAGGGCCACGGTTGCTATACCAATTATATGGTTTCGGTAATAGTGCCGAATAAATATGTTTTGTGAAGATTTGTCAAGGTCCTTGTTTTGTTGATGGTTATGTTGCTTCTGTTCTGAAGTTGATTTGGTTCGTTATTTTGGGTCTTCATCAACTCTGGTTCTGAAAATTTTTGTTCATCTATTTGGTGAGGTCTTTCCTCTTTGTTTATTTGTGATTATTTGGAATTCACCTAAGGGTGGTTTGTGAGACCATTCGTGTCTTGTTTGTAATCGTTTGAAAACTATTTGGTTGATAGTGGAATCGGATTTCGATCCCGTGGAGGTACCTTACATTGAGGGAACCACGTAAAAATTCTTGTGTTGCTTTTGATTTAATTTTTCCGTATTAGTTTTTATTCCCATTGATTGATTTACTTGTGAGGAATCACATATTTTCTCTAACAGCTGGTATCAGAGCTTACGGTTTATTTGGGTTTATT